GAGAGAGAGAGAGAGAGAGAGAGAGAGAGAGAGAGAGAGAGAGAGAGAGAGAGAGAGAGAGAGAGAGAGAGAGTAGATGCCTCTGCAGGAAAGAAATGGTGGCCATGTGGAGAACGAGAATTAAACGAGTCGGTGGTGCCGTGATTGGAGGGACTGATTAGCTTGTGGGCTATTACAGAAGGATGGGAGCTTAAGGCACAGAAGTAGGGGGAGCACAGGTGTAGAAGTGTACGTGGAGACAAAGGCGGGTGGAGGAAGGGGGTTGGACAGCAGTGTGAATCTCTCACATGCATACACCCACAGTACATTGAAAGGGTGAGGAGTAGAAAGGGGGAAGGAGGGAGAGAAGTCTGGGCAATCTCCGAGTTAGAATGTCGACAACTGCATCTGGGGTATCTGATCAGTGGTTGCAACGGTCAGGAGCAGCAGGAGCAGCAGAAGCAGTCACTATAGCAGCAGCAGGCACAGGAGCTGTAGCAGCAGCAGCAGGAGGATTAGGAGGAGGAGGATTAGGAGGAGGTGTGTTGGGGTTAGGAAGAGGGAGCAGCAAGGGTAGTCGTTTGGGAGGAGGGGACTTGTTAGGGGTCTACCCTGGGGGGTTGGCATCTGGTCCATCGAGTTCGTTGGGGAGTAGTGAAGGTGTCACTATGAGGGTCGACAGCCGGTACAGTCTGGCCAGTGATTCTTCTTCCGAACGGTATGCGTCGCGGTCTTCCTCGCTTTGGAAGATTTACGATGTGGAAGAGAATGAGGAGGATGTGGCTGAGTTCCAGGAGATCCTGGGGTCCGAGGTCCACGTGGAACTGGTACCGCTGAAAGAGCTGGCCAGGCATGGTGTCCCTCATCGCCTCCGGGACCGGGTTTGGATGTTTCTTCTGGGGGTGTCGAAACCGGATCGGTCGGAAGAGGTGTCTTTGGACCGGAAGATGTCCGAAGATTACAACGACTTCAACAAAGCCAATGCGGAGGTTATGAGGAGAGTGAAGGGGGATATCAAGAGATACCGACCGGACATTCTTTCGCTGCGCGAACCGAGCGTTCGTGCGCTTTTCGAGAGGACGCTCAGTGCGTACCTCAGCAGTCACATGGATGTGGAGTACAGGCCCTACATGGTTCATCTCTTAGGTCCTCTGGTGTTTTGTATTCACAAGGAGAGGGATATCTATTACTGTTTCGAAGCGCTGATGACCCGACATCAAATGACTTTCGCCGGGGACGGCATGTCGAAGATGCTGTCCAATTTCATAACGTTGTTTCGAAACCTTGAGCCGGTGCTATACGAGGCGTTCGAGGAGGAGGAGCTCGAACCCTCGTCGTGGGCTGTGCCGTTGTTGCAGTCCTTGCTTAGCAAGGAGTTGCCTCTCCCTTGTGTTCTTCGGTTATGGGACACGTACTTTGCCACCGACGAAGGATTCGACCTGCATCCTTATGTTTGCCTTTCGATTCTTGAGATGAATAGTGAGCAGTTGGTGGAGATGGATGGAACAGAGGTCCTCGGTTTTCTGCAACACCTTCCTAGATTGGACATGAACCAGATCATCTCAAGTGCTTTGAACATGAGAGAGAAGGTGGTGGTTAGGAATCTTATCTAATCTATAGTCTGTCTAATCTCCTCCTCGAATCCTCGTCTAATCTCTTCTTATCTAATCTCATCTCTTCTCATCCAATCGTCATCTAATCCTCGTCTAATCCTTGTCTAATCCTCGTCTAATCCTCATCTAATCCTTGTCTAATCCTCCTATTATCCTCGTCTAATCCTCGTCTAATCCTCGTCTAATCCTCGTCTAATCCTCGTCTAATCCTCGTCTAATCCTCATCTTAATCTTTTTTTTTTCTTTTCTTAATAGCAGCTATAGTACTACTCATATGATCTTAATCTATAATAGGATCTATACTCTCATCCCATCTCTTCGTATCTAATCTCATGTACTGTATTCTAATGTAAGAATTGTAATCTAAGGAGTAGGCGAAAAGCCGTGATGCACGAATGTAAGCAGTAGGCAAACGCACGATGAGCAAGAACGTAAGGAGGACTAGGCGAAAGCACAATGCGCGAGTCTGTCACAAGCCTGTGACTCTTGTCCTTTTTTTTCTGCGTTCCAAGTGTGTGTTAATGACCACCCCTTTTATAAGGAGTAGCCGAATTTGCGATCCAATTGTGTGCTAGTGAGACCCCTTGCCATAATCTGTCAGACGCAGACGCGCTCCGGTGTCTTGTCCTTTCCTCCAGCCATAATCTGTCAGACGCAGACGCGCTCTGGTGCCTTGTCCTGTCCTCCATTTCCGATAGCGGTTTGATGTAATCTATAATCTAGTCTAATCTAGTCTCATTTGGGCTAATAATATAACCTTTTTTTTTTTCTTTTTTTTTTTTTGCTTAATTGAAGCTAATCTAATCTCATCTACACTGTTGGAGCAGTCAATGGTGTGTTTAACTTTTTTCCTTCGCCGAGAAGGAAGGAAGTGCGAGGGTGTTCATATTGTAATTTTGAAAAATCACTTGCCGGTGGAACAGGAACTGGACTTTTTTTTTGTTTTTTTAAGGCTAATGTAATCTTATCTAATCTATTGAATAGGTGATAGCCTGACATGAAAGCCCTGTGACAGCCCCTTGTTTGTTTTCCTCTTCCTCCCGTCTGGTCGGTGGTGTACCCGATGATTATGGTTGTTTGTACAGTCTGTCAGAGCCCCTCGTTTGTTCTCTGCGTCTCACTCTCAGCTGCAGCATCGCCCTAGATTCGTCTTCTTCTTCTTCTTCTCCCCTTTCTCCCCCCCCTTGCTTTTGTTTTTTTCTCCCCGTTTTTCTTCTTTCCCTTCTTTTCCGCTTTTCTCTCTTTTTCTTCTTCTCTTTGTAGAAGGGCACCAGCCTTGAGGTATCGTCTTGGAACTGTGGAACTGACCGGCCCCAGGTAAATTGGAACTGACCGGGCCCAGGTAAATTCGAAGCGATCATACTCTCGAGTTAACTCAACTGATTGCATTGGAGTCCGAACTGCGGTCTGCATTTCAACAGCTCAACAGTGCATGGGTGGCCGCAATGTCCAGCCTAGACTCTGTTTTTCTTTTTCTTTTCTTTTCTTTTCCCTTTTGCCAGCATCATCCCAGAATAGACGTGAACCAGATCGGATACCAATAGCCTTGAAGAATGTCCGAGTAGTGGTGAGCATTAGCATCTCCTATGCTCAACCGTAATGCAGTCTATAGTCTAATCCAATCCTACTCAATTTAATTCCCCACACTACTACAGTCCAATGTACTTTTTTTGTCTATCGACTCTCGCACTACTGTAGTCTATTGTCTAAGTCTGTACCAGTACTATAGTCTGATGTACTCTTTAGTCTGTAGTCTACTGTACTCTATAGTCTAATGTACTCTATAGTCTAAGTCTATAGTCTAATCAATCCTATTTCAATTTATGTAGTCTAGTCTACAAGTCTAGTGTAGTCTATAAGTCTCTAGTCTAAATCTAAACTACAATTACTACATCTAATATTGATCTAAATTCAGACTATAGACTTATAGACTAGACTACATAAAGACTAAGTTAGATTATAGTCATAAGATTATATTTTACTAATTTAGATTCATATTAGATGTAGTAATTTTAGTTTAGATTTGGACTAAATTAGTAAATTTCCCAAAATTTACTAATTTAGTCCAAATCTAAACTAAAATTACTACATCTAATATGAATCTAAATTAGTAAAATATAATCTTATCAAATCTGAGTGTTCGAGAGCCGGTCTAGTCTATTAAGTCTTGTGAGTCCAAAATCTAATCCAAATTTAGTCGAATCTAAAACTAAAATCTAATATTAAATCCCCCCCCCACCTTATTATTCTTTTTGGGTCAGATACGTTTTGGCGGCCGAGTGATTGTAACATGCCTTGGGGAGGCCTGCATCTCACGTATGGAACGGATGCGAGTTTACCAACTCTCTCTTATTCTAATCTGATTGTACGATAGCCCGACGCGCAAGTCTGTCACAACACCAGCCCGCGTAGTTGTCCTTCACTCTGTTGTGGTTACGTTTTTTTTTTGTTTTTTTTTGGTGGGGGGGTGGGGTCGTAATGGCAGTCAGATACATCCACGACAGGACCTGATTGCGGTTAGATTCATTATAGGGAATGTATGTCTTGTCAGTTCCGGTGTGGTTTACAAGATGGTTCTTTGTGACATTATGTATCTGTGAAATTGTGTGAATATCTATCGAGGCTACCAGAGTGGCTCGGGCCCACTTGATCGGCTGGGAGAAAATAAATAAATAAATAAATAATAAAACTTAAAAACAAGTAATTTTGAATTTTTATTTTTATTTTTTATTTGGTAAGGAGTCTACTGAGGACTCTTTAAACCACCAGTACACCCAGGCCTGATTTGCCGAACCGACGCGCCCCCTGCGCGCCAGAATTTTCCGAAGCTGCTTGTGGTTGTTATCAGTACGGTTCGACTTTTGTGGTACCGGTGCCACAAGTTGTTGGAATAGAATGCTGCCCTCTGGATTTCACTGGCGGCCTACTGCCACTTTTCGTACGGGCGCCCTCATGGCTTGCATGTACGGATTGGTGCCAAGTTTTTTTGGTGTTTTTCGAAATTGGAGAGACGGTTAACGGGGGCCCACGAAATTGTTTTTTTTTTTTTTTTTTTTTTTTTTTTTTTGGCTTGTCCAGTGACAACGTGGGCACCTAGCGGTCCTCTCTTTCGTCTTCCAGGGTAGGCCTCGTTGTACTACTCTCCAGATTTGCAAAATGAGTCTGAATCCACCGACGTAATATGGAAAGTTACATTGCCACCTTTTTTTGTCTTTTGCACATGTGGAGAGTAGTGCCGCGAAGCCGTAGGACTGTATTCCAACCTCATCCTGCCATGACTCGTCTGCCCACGTGGCAAAGATGTTCAATGAAGTCCCCTGCTTGCGGGAGTGCGGACGACGCCACGCACGTGCCGCGACGAACAGCGGCATCTTTGCCATGCATAGGGAAAACAATACGTCGTAAATGAAACATACCTCACGATCATCCATGCATCCCCTTGTTTTTTCGTTTTTTTTTTCCATTCTTTTTGTTGTTCTTCGTTGTGATTGGTGAACAGGTTCTTACCTTATGGCGCATGGATACTGTGAGGTCATCGCTTGGTGCACATTTGGAGAGAGAGAGAGAGAGAGAGAGAGAGAGAGAGAGAGAGAGAGAGAGAGAGAGAGGGTGCTCATTCAGAGAGAGAGAGAGAGAGAGAGAGAGAGAGAGAGAGAGAGAGAGAGAGAGAGAGAGAGAGAGAGAGAGAGAGAGAGAGAGAGA